ACCCCCCCCCCAAAAAAAAAAAATTATCTTTAAATATGTTGAGGGTTCAGGAGATTTCTTTAATCTGTATAGCCTTCTCTGTCTCATTTCAAGAACACTAGCGGTCTCTCTCTCAATCTACACACACTTTTATCAATCTTCAAATGTATCTTCGTGCTTGTTCTTGACGAGTTCTCTCTCTCTCTATATATATAAAAGCAATCTAATACACGAAACTCTCAGCACTGAAGAGTTTGACCCTGTGTATTTTTCTTTTTTGAGAGAGCATTTGATTATATATATAGCATGGGAGTAATGGGGAGAATATTCAACAAGATACATGGGTTGAAGCCGGCGATGATGATGGTGACAGTTCAGATTTCACTGGCAGGAGTGAATGTTTTCTATAAATTGGCTGCAAATGATGGAATGAGCTTGAGGGTTTTGGTTGCCTATAGATTCTTATTTGCTGCTGCTACTGTTGTTCCTCTTGCTCTTGTTGTCGAAAGGTGACGTCTCAACTCACAACTCTTGGGGGACATAATGTTATTGGCCTTCAGCATAGATGACTCCATCCTCTACCCAAAGTCACCGAGTGACTCCCTCTCTCACTTGCTTTAGAAGACGGAGTCATCACATCTTTCTCGGTTTCATCATCCTGTTTCTCTGAACATGACTCAAAATGGTTTTTTATGTCATTAAGTATTGAACGTTTTTCACATAATTTTTTTCTAAGCAATATTGTGGTGCAAATACTGCAGGAAGAAGAGACCAAAATTGACATTGATGGTGCTCTGGCAATCATTTCTTTGTGCGTTATTCGGGTAAGTTAGTATCCAATATGGCCAAGCAAATTGTTTCTATACTTGGCAAAGCAACTCTTGTAGATCAATTAAACATAACTCTCTCTCTCTCTCTCTCTCTCTCTCTCTCTACACTTCATTGCTTAGGAGATTTACGTAATCTCTAATGAGATATTCAGTATCATCAGTGTTAATTGACTTCATTGAGTAACTTAACCTATTTCTTTAAGAAGAAGACCATAAGAGAGTTTTTATCACATTTCAGAACTTAATAACAAAAATTTGTATTGCATTTGAACACTTTCTGAATTAACTGTCTATATATTTGCATGCAGGGGAACAATAACTCAAAATTTATACGCCCAGAGCTTGGTCTTAACCTCAGCAACGTTTACTTCAGCTATGACTAATATTATTCCGGCCATCACCTTCATTATGGCCATATTCTTTGGGTACATAACTATATATGCACATATACAACTCAGCTTATATATATATATACCATTACAACCAGTGTATAGTTGTGTCCAATGGTACTCTTTATCTTGTGAAAGTTTTGGAAAAAAAAAAACCCGTGTAAAATTATCTTATTTTATTATTCTTCTTTACATTATTATATATTTTTGTAAGCAGTGGCTACAATTGAATTAAAACATGGTCATGGTTACAAATTAATTTCGGTATATATATATATATTGTGTACATTGCATCTTAGCCGTCTGATCCGTGGAATTTGGTGCCAATCAGGTTGGAGAGGCTGAACTTGGGTGCAACGGCAGGCAAAGCAAAGGTTGTGGGAACAGTATTGGGCATAGTTGGGGCAATGCTCCTCACATTTTACAAAGGGATTGAGATTAACCTTGGGTCAATACATGTTGACCTTTTGCATGAGAGTCAACATCAGGGTGTACACGTGGCAACATCACACCAGAAGTCTATTAATCACATCTTAGGTCCTTTATTGGCATTAGCCAGTTGCTTCTCTTATACATTTGCTTTGATAGTTCAGGTAATCTTGTCGTCACATGCTCTTACAATACATGATCTTCTTCTATTGTTTTGTTATAGAGAGAGGAAAAAGTTTTAGAGAGAGAGGGGAAGAAAGATTAGAAGATTTTCTTACCTTGTCATTGTGGTTGCAGGCTAAGATGAGTCAGAAGTACCCTTATCATTACTCTAGTACTGCTCTGATTTCTGTGATGGGGTCACTTCAATCCGTTGTTTTTGCACTTTGTATGGAGAGAGACTGGAATCAATGGAAGCTGGGATGGAACATCAGACTCCTTTCAGTAGTTTACTCAGTATGCAATTTTTGGTTGATTTGCTTACTACTTTTCACTCTGTATACTTGTTACAATAAAGTTTTTAAAACACTTTACGATGATGCGTTTATGTTGATTTTCTTATGTAATATACTCATGTTGTAGGGAGCCATTGCCTCAGGATTGATGGTTACGTTCATTATGTGGTGTGTGCGCATGAGAGGTCCTCTATTTGTTTCTGTTTTCAACCCTCTAATGCTTGTTCTCGTGGCAATTGCTGGGTGTTTCTTGTTGAATGAGAAGTTACATTTGGGAAGGTATCTTCAGTTATTTTTTATATTTATAATATAAAACAGGACATACTTTAATAATCTTATCCAACGATTTTAAATAAATTTATTCTACGACTACTAATATTTCTATCAAAATTATTTACATTACACCACGAGTTACCCCTAATATATATACATAGAATGACATGATCTAAAGTTATTCACTAGCATGACCATATGGAGGTACCGCAGAAATCTCCTTTTTATATTATTACCGGCTATGAATACTCCAACTATACGTTAAATTCGTCGATTCATGCTTCTCAAAAATGCGACAATTAATTAGATTAAGATCAAACTTATGAGAGAAAAATGATCGCAATATAAGGCTGACCATTTTGATCGTAATAACTTTTTAATCGTTCACAAAAAATAATCTGATAAATTTGGGAATATATTATAAGTACAAAACCAATACGTGCACCATTTTTATGGAAACTTTCTTTCTTTCTTTTTTTCTTTTTTTTTATGATATTTTATGCTAGGTAACATTGACTAACCAACTAAAAGAGTATCAGCACACCAGTGGTTTTATAGTTTTATAATGTTTCTCAACATTAACTGGTTTTACTTCATGCTTCACTCTTTGCAGCGTGTTAGGAGCTATGATCATAGTATGCGGATTATACGTGGTGCTATGGGGAAAAGGCAAGGAGATGAAAAGGATTGCTCAACTGATGCCATCAAAGGGCTCTAGAGAAACCGAACAACAAACTGATGGCGCGGTTGCCTTCCCTGTCGAAAATAACAAGAGCATCAACAGTAGCAACATAATGGGGATCGCTCCAAATTTCCTCCTAACAACAGCTAATCATGATTTAGACTGTGTAGAAGAAGAACAGGATGAAGAAGAAGAAGAAGGGAAGTTCAACCTTAGTGTGAATGTCTAAGTATATATAAGAGATAATTTAATTTGTTTCTGTATTTTGAAATAAACATATCTATGTTTTTGCGTTCTAATATTGTAGAAAAGTTGTATGTTGTCAACCATATTGCCCAATAAGTGTATATGCATCTCTATGTATGTATGTATGTATTATGGCATGTTTGGTAGACATAAAGATGTTATTCTTTTCATTGTACTATTCACTTTATTCTTGTGAATTTAGAAAGAGGTAATTAATGACATCTGATCTTATGTAAGAAAATGGTTTGTTCAAGATGCTGAGTCTTTCATTGAAGTATCTTTGAAATAGGTTTCTAAGCATAATTCTTATTGTGCTTGTTGCCTCCAAATTTGAACGATTACGAGGAAAAGGAGTACAAGTGAAGTGTTCTTGTAAATGGAGGATATAGGTAGCAATTTTAACTCATTATTCATTAACACGCCAAATCTACTCATAAATTAATAGGTTGGGTACCTATACTAATTAATGTGAGTCCTAAATAGGTTGAGTAAAATGACTCATTTTTATTAAACAAATTAATATTGATTACAAATGAGTACTCATTGGATTGAATATTTATCTTTCTATTTAAATAAAAATAATAATAAAATTAAATACACACTAATATATTAAAAAATATACACGCTAATACACCAAAAAATAAAAACGCATACACTAATACAAAAAATACACACACACACACACACACTAGTACAACAAACAAACCTAACCCTAGACCCTGGACCTAGACTAGATGCCGACCCCAGACTCGACCCCAAACTTGGACCCGACCCTAACCTTGAACTGGAATCAAACCTGACTCGAGACTTGAATCTGACCCCAACCCCAACCCCAGACCTGAGACAAACTCACCTCTGAAAACAGACCAGCCCCCAGACCTTGAATCTAGACCCGGCCCCATACCCAAACCCGACCTTGACCCTCGCCCGGACCCGACCCCCAATCGGACCTAACCTTGAACCGTTTGTGTGTGTGTGTGTGTGTGTTTTGGTGAATTATGTGTATGTGTGTGTTTTAGTGTATGAATACGTATTTGAGTGTATTTTGGTGTACTAATATGTGTGTGCAAGTGTGTTTTAGTGTATTTGTGTGTATGTGTTTTGATGTCTTAGTATGTGTGTATATTAGTGTGTGCTGGTATATAAGTATGCGCGTGTGTATATGTATACGTTTCAGTGTATTAGTGTGTATGTGTGTTTTTGTATTTATGTGTGTGTGTATATTTTCGTGTATTAGTATGTATATTTTTTGTGTATTAAAGTGTGTTTTATTTGATATTCGTATGTGTGTTATATTTAGAGTTTTAATTATTTTATGGGTTGATAGGTTTAACCTAACCCATTATGATCATTAAGTGGGTTGAAAATGGATTAGATTTATTTTTCACACAACCCAATAAATCTAATCCATTTTCATAAATCTAACCCACCCAACCCGCCGATTTTTCATTTCTAATACAACCATAAGAACAGTAAAAATGAAGGTCTTGTTCAAACAAACCTCATTTAATTTCTTATTATCAAAATATTAAGCTCACCCATTCTATACCCACCTCATTAGTAACTAAGTCCACCTTATACTACATACACCCCATTAATAGTTAACCTCACTCATTCTATGTATACTCCTTTAATGAAAGAAATCATCATAAAAAAAATAAATAAAAGAAGACAATTAGTTTGAATGTATAAATATATTTACGAAATAAGAAAAGAAAAAAAAAGAACCAAGCAAAACTGAAACAAGAAAAAAAAAACAACCAAAAACGAAACAAGTAAAAAAAAAGTATGTCGAAACAAGGAAAAAGAAAAGAACAAAACAAGGGGAAAAAAAAAGAAAGAAAGAAGCAGACCGAAGCAAGAAAAAAAGAAGAGAACAAAACAAGAAAAAAAAAAAAAAAAAGCAAACCGAAAGAAGGAGGAAAAAAATCAAACAAAGATTAATGGAACAAGCAAAACTACAAAATGCAAAACCACAAGACGCAAAACCGAATATGAAAAAAAAATATCAAGCACATGTACAAAATTAAACAAGAAAAAAAATAACAAGTATTGATGCAAAACCTTAACTAAATAAAAAAGAACAAATAATTTGCAAGTATATATATATATATATATATATATACACACATATAAATTTTAAATAAAAAATTATTAACTTGACTGAGATATTAAAACATACCAAAAATAATGAAAATTCGTATAACAAATATGAAATCAAACATAGAATTAAATTAAGATGTAATACTAACATATATCTATTGAAAAAATCATATTGAAAAGTTTTTTTGTGAGTGCATGAGATGAGATAGAGAATGAAACCCTAATTATGACAAAACATAAAATGAATTTACTTATTAAAGAAGGTGTATGTAGTATGGGGTGGATTTAGTTACTAATGGAGTGAATATAGAAAGGGTGAACTTAATAGTTTGATAATGAAAAATTAAATAGAATGAGAATGAAGATTTGTGGGGGTAAGAATAGTCCTACCAAATAATATTTTGCTTTAACGATTTATTTTTAGATTAAAATTTTGAAAGTCATCCTAAATTTTGATGAAATAAAGTTTTTGAAGTTAACTTTGTAGATAAGAAATCAAGATAGCAAAACAATGATACAAAAACACAAAAATATAACGTAATTCGATACAATATATCTATTTTGGTATATGGTATATCGTATCTACATTTACAGACTAAAAACTTACATCGATATACTTCTCATCTGATAATGAACTACATCATATTTAACCTTATTTATAAATATAACATATTTAATCCAAATCTATTCAAATACAACTTAATTTTTATGTTTTTTATCACATGACTCAATGCCCGTGATTCTATCCTCACACTAACTTGTAGGCCCACACATTTGGTTTCAAATACATACAATAAAGATCTATTATTTATTTTTTTGGTATAATACCAAAATTTTTTATAACTACCATCATCTTGTTTTTTCTAGGCCTGTACATGATGTCATGGTTTTTTAAACTATATATATTTTAAATTTAAAATTAATTATATAAATTTAAAAAATAACATGACTCGCTAACACCGTAAATTATAAATTCACTTACACATGCTCAGACAAGAAAACGTGGTCAGAGCCTGCCTCGTACTATTGATTTAATAAACATCCTCCATCAAACGAGAAACACACACAGCACATGTTTATTGAACAGAGAAATCACTTGGTCCTAAAAATAAAATACAATAAACATCAATCTCGTACTCCAGTACAAAAGTAAAACAAACTCAACCCATTCTTTTTTTTTTTTCAACTCGATTTTGTTGTGATTTAAACACAAAATACCAGCTGAACTATTTATCCAAAATAAAATGTAATTTAATTTTAAAAAATATCATTTTGATAAAATTGTTACTTGTACCAAATAAAATATCACAGATATTTAGATAAAAGTTACAACTATAAACAAGTAAATGATCCTAAAAATTTTGAAGATAGTATAATAATTCATCAAAAAAGATGATAATGAATGTATTTTTAATAGTTCTTAATCATGTAATTCCATAATTTCGACGAAGAACGAACAAAACAAACAACAAGAATATAAAAATATTAATGAGGTAATAAATTATAATCTTATTAAAATATTTGTGATGAAAACTCATACTATCAATTAAAAAAAGATTTTAGCATAATTTTAAAAAATAATTAATAATTTTACAATTTTAAAATATTACTAAAAATTTATAAAAAAAAAAAAATCATTGGCACTAATTGCTTTAGTCCTCATTTGTTCTCGTGCCGCCCCTGTTGGGAGCTATCAAACTTATATATTTCTTTATCTTCTCACTGGTTCTTAGAAGCTCTAGGAACCCATATCTTTTTCTTTTTTCTTTTTTTCCTTTGTCGATAAATTTATAATGCTAGACGTGAGAGAGATATATCTGGAGTTGGTGAGCATTTGATGTAGAGAGAGAGAGGGGGGGGCAAAATGGGAAGAATATGCAATGGGTTGAAGCCAACTATGATGATGGTGACTGTTCAAATTTCAATGGCAGGTTCGAATGTTTTCTACAAACTGGCTGCAAATGATGGAATGAGTTTGAGGGTTTTGGTCGCCTATTGTTTTATGTTTGCTGCAGCTACTTTTGTTCCTCTTGCACTCTACATCGAAAGGTTATACTTATACATCCATTTTTTTGTTCTATTTTTCAAAAAAATACCTCTCTCGAACAGCAATCAGTTAGTAACTTAACAACATAATATTAAAACAGATTGATCGGAACTTGTTTTTAGTTTGATTCCTGTTTGATACTCTTCAAATCTATCAGTGCAACCGCTTTTTGTTAGCTTTATATAAGAATGTTAACGTTGTATTTTTTGTGTGTGTGTGTGTGTGTGTTATTTTTACATAAATACTGTAGGAAAAACAAGCCAAAACTGACATGGATGGTACTCTGGCAAGCATTTCTTTCAGCGTTATTCGGGTAATTTTTATTTGTTTTTTTTCCGTTATCCGGGTTAGTTAGTATGTAACATGGCCAAATGTAATTCCTGATGGTTATTTCTTTAGAATCTCTTTTATTTAACTATTATTTTCCAAAAAAGATCTCGATATAATTTAGTACATGTGTATGTGATTACTGTTAGAAAGATTGAGAAAACCACCACCATGCAAAAAATAAAAAAATCAAAATCAAATACTATTTTCCAAAAGTTTTTAAATAATTAAAAATTAATAAATATACTTCGAAAAAAGGTTACCAAACGAAACCTCAATAACCAATGGAGTTTTTTTGGTTCAGATTGTAACTTTATTTCTTTGTAGTCCAAGTGTTTTGAGCTGTTCTCCATAATTTCGGAGTACCCATTGGTGGATTGTTTTATTTTGTATATCTTCTTTTCGAGAAATAAAAATTTCTTGGTGACATACTTGTACTTTTCATCCATTAGAAACTTGATACATTTCAATTAGGGTGGTTAATCAAACTAAGCTATTCAGGCTTG